ACACACACACACACACACACACTGCTTGCTTGCTTTTTCTCTTACTATGCACTCTGGTTGCTACTATGCAAGTATGCCTTGGCCACGAAGGAATTTCATGATGGGTAAAAGCTCAGTTGAATGAAACTCGAATGGTTACCAAGATGTTAATCCTGAAGAGAACAAAAGGGTCTCAGGAGCAAGGAGTTTTAAAGAATGCCAGAAGCAAGCCTTGAATTGCTTTATTCCTTTCTTGTATCATAAAGTGTGGAAAATGTGAATTAGAGCTTTTCCTTCTTTCGAAAAAAGTGGGCTCTCATAAGTAGGTTTTTCTTGAGTGTGTATGTGTGTGAGTAGACTTTGTTTTGGGTTTAAGACACTTCATTCTGTTCTCTATATTTGAGAAAAAATTTACAAGGGACCCTGGATCCCTACAGTCAGTGACCAGGGTGTGTTCTCAGACTCTTTCCCTTCTCCTCTAATCACCTATTCTCATGTACTTGGCCATCAACATAGCACTTTATGTAATATACCCCTCTACTTCTCTTCTGCTTTGTTTATTCACCATCATTCCTATGGGGTTTTTTTTTTTTTTTTGGTAGAGATGAGGTCTTGCTCTTGCTCTCACTCTTGCTCAGGCTGGTCTTGAGCTGAAGCTCTTGCCTGGGCCAGGATTACTGGTGTGAGCCACTACACCTGGCCCTTTTCCTGAACATTCTTGAGAAAAAAAAAATTCTTTTTTATAGGTATCCTAAAGGAAAGTGAAACTTGGTGCTGTTGTTTAACCTGCTTTCTGGGGCGGTGCCTGTGGCTTAGTGAGTAGGGCCCCGGCCTCATATACTGAGGGTGGAGGGTTTGAACCCGGCCCTGGTCAAACTGCAGCAACAACAACAAAAAATAAACTTGCTTTCTGTACAGTCTCTGTATTTCCCTTCTTGTTGATAAAAATTCTAGGATCAGACAACATTTAGACTAAGGACCCATTAAAAGTTCGATTTCTTTCCAATAGTTTTTTTATTTCAAATTAATATGAGGGCACAAATTTTTAGATTACATTGTTCTCACTTCCAAGGTAACGTTCCTGTTGTAATCACCTAGGGGGCGTGTTACACTCCCTGGCATGGTGCACATTAGATGGGATGCTGCCGA